CTTTATTCAGTACTATAGGGCATGGGCCTTACATATACAATATTAATTATTCTTGAAAATAAGTACACTCTTCCCCAGTCATTCCACAAGTGTTCGGCGTTTCAGTAATGAAAAGAAAATAAACTTGCCCTAGATTTACTAATGTATTTAAATTTCTTAAATTAATTAACGAAATAAATTTTCATTCTTCTGCTGGAGAAAAAAAAAGTGTGGAATAAATTTTAGCCTAAGATTGTCATATTGTGGGCGAATAAGAAGCATGCGATATTCATCTTCAATTTGATTAAAGCAAAATGGATAAAACCTCAGTTCCCATGAACAAGCCGTCCCTCTCACAGTCTCAATATTTAGGTCATGTGTAGGAATTCTAAAACAAGACAGTGCCCTTCTATAAGTAACATTTGAAATACATTCTAAATACTTGTCACAAGTCATATTACATTTAAATTTATAGTACGTACGCATTTTGGGATACCCTGCAACGCTAGTAAACCATTCTTGCACAGAAATATCAAAACGTCGCTGTTTAAATTCATATAGTTTAATGTATTTATTTATCGAGTATTTATTTGATTGAATATGCATATTACCCACTCATAATTTCATTTCCTAATAGAGCCCAAATACACACACGCAAATAGGGGTATTCCTCAACGTAAGCATGCACATACATTGGAAGGAATACGCCAGAATACGCCAGTCTTTTACGTGCGCTGAAGATAGGAACAGTACACGGGGCCGACAGCTTTACGTCTCCATCCGAAACAACGCCGTGTATTCTCCAAAACACACATTTTGCACCGCTTGTGCAGCCAACCATGGGAATCGAACCTACGAGCTATCTGATGATGAGCAGTTTTTTGTGACTTACGTTTACAGTTCAAATTACATGCTTCCCCGGCCCTTCTTGAAGACAAAAACGATAAATATACTCAAGTTGATTATAACATTGTTGGTTGATAATAATTTGATGAATTCGAATTTTTTCCTTAGAGGCACAATATTTTACACATTAGAAGGAAATCAAATTTGTTTTCGCATTAACATTTTGTCAACAAAAATACGGGTTTATGGCTAAGTCGTTCCGTGCAACTGGGACATTACCGGACATGGGAGATTGACTTTTTCTCTGTGGTTTATATATTTTCCTTAAAGTTGGTATCTTCTTGTAAACTTACTAAATTTCTCTATCCTGTTGTTTTATTAACAGATGTCATGCCGGGCGAGCAGTGTACTTTCATCAGTACCACCAGTGACCAATACAGGATTGTCACGGTAGTAGACGAACATGGCAACTATGAGAGCGACGTTTCGTGTAAAATTTCATTTCGAACTGACGAGAGTAAAAAATTCTTTCTGCGCGTGACAAGAATGGACATGGAATTCTCTAACCAATGTGCGAGTGACTCGTTGCGTATATACGACGGCACCTCGGAAAACGACGCATCACTGACCGGTAATGCATACGGAATATGCGGACGTTCATTGTCGTTACCGAACTATTTTTATTCTACCGGAAACGCTGTAAGCGTCCAGTTTGTGACGGATAACGCTAACAATAACGGAGAAGGCTTCGACATTTTAGTTACGGCGTATAAACCAGTGGACAGTACAGGTGAGTTCATGTATCCGCGGCCTGTTAGGATTCCACCGGTGCACATACCGCCGTGTTAACACCCGTGCCCCTTGGAATAAAAATAATTTTTAGTCTTGGGTATTTTTTTCGTCCCCCTGTTTGGCATATGTTTGAATTGAGGCGAATCATGTAAACAACAAACTCCAGCAGATTGTACGAGAAAGTGTCAACTATTAGGTGGTAATAGAAATAGGTTAGTTTTACTTGAAGAGCTGGGTGACTTGCTCATACGGAGTTAAAGCAAGGGAATCAGGGGAGCTCGAATACGGAGGGGGCGTAGTATAAACTAAATATAAATATACTTAATTATAAGCAGATAGAGTATATTGTCCTGAATACATGTATATGAATATTGTTATAAAACAAAAAGGTCTAACTAACTTGCCGGTTTTGAAAAATGACAAGTTAAATACATTAACTTCTGGATCCGACATGAACACGTCGCATTACTTCGTACCGGATCGCAACCAGTCGTTTGAAACAGTTTTATTAACGGAAAAGCTGCCAATCCTGGAGATCGCACCAAGAATCATTTTTTTTGTGTTATGCACATCACAGTCCCTCAAAACCAGGGACTGTGTGCACACTAATAGTATTTACTTTTCCAACGTAATTAAATATACCTATTACTTGACTGGAAATGGACCTTTCAACGCGTATATATTCCAATGCCGTTGATGACTTTGTGTATTATTTTATTTGACAGAAGAGTGTGAAGATGTGGATGGGTTCCTATGCCTTGATGGCAGCAAGTGTATGAGCAAAAATGTATACTGCAATGGTCATTCCCAATGTGCAGAAGGCAGCGATGAACCGACCACTTGCAGCAACGTCTCGGGTGGGTACATGTTGTTGTTATCATCGCAAAACGTGTTTTCAATTTCAGATTCTAGTTTATTGATGTCTGAAATCTCATCCGAAATCGACATTGGCTAAGCCAATTTTGCACTAATGATCTTTTTAAAGGGCGGTGGTCGTCCAGTCGCATCCTGTTCGATATGGGACTCGT